GGATATGCGTTAACTGTCCTTGAGAAGAAAAAAACACAGCACAGCGCAGGAACAGGCCCTTCGGCCCACCAAGACTGTACCAATACACGATGCCTTTCTAAACTAAAAACTTTTGCCATTTATCTGTCTTGACGCCTCTTAATCATTGCTATTGTATTCGTCTCCACCACCTCCTTTGGCAGTGCATTTCAAGTGTAAAAAACCTGCTTCTGTCATCTCCTTTAAACTTGCTCTCTTTTAATTAAATCTATGTCCACCACTGGTCACAGATCTGCTTGGGGTGTAAGTACAGAGTGATTTTATGAAGGGAGTTCCATGATTTGCTCCTTTGCCAGTTAAAGAGTAGCAATATATTTCCAAAACAGGATGGTGTGTGACTTGGAGCTGGTGGCGTTCCCAAGTAGCTGCCCCCGTTCTTTCAGGTGGTAGACATTGTTAGTTTGGAAGCTGCTGTTGAAAGAGTTTCTGTGGTGCATCTCGTAGATATTACACACTGCTGCTGTGTGTTGGTGTTGAAGAATGGATGTTGAAGGTGGCGGATGGGGTGTGAATCAAAGGGACTGCTTTGTCCTAAATTGCATTGAACTTCTTGAGTGTTGTTGGAACTGCACACAGGCAAGTGGAGAGTGTCACATCACATTTGAGTTGTGTCTTTGTCGACGGTGGATAGGCACAAGGGAGTAAGGTGGTGAGCTATTCACTGCAGAATTCACAGCCTCTGACCAGCTCTGGCAGCCACATTATTTATACGTCTGATCCTGTTCAGTTTCTGCTAAAAAGTAGCCCCCAGATGTTGACAGTGAGATGCAGCAATGGTCATACCACTGAATGTCAATGGAAGAGGGAACAGGTCTTGTGTTAAGCTAAATCAAAGTATCTCACCAATCTCTCTGGTTCTGCAGTACTTGGGCTCATTATCTCCTCCACATAGTTGGCAGGGAACCAAAGCTGTCGTTTACCTCCGTAGTCTCCTTTCCACCTGAAAAAGCATTGGGAAGAGATCAATCACTGTACATAGCAGAGACAACAGTAGTCAACAGTAGTGATGTAAAATTGAGGCAGGTAGATGTGGGGACAGTGTAATGTTTAGGAACGGATACAAACTGATAGTGTCAGGAAACAGGTTGAAACTTTAATTTGATGTTTGTGTTAAGTACTTTCTAACTGTCTAACCACTATGTTACCAAGTACAAAAATACTTACGGGCTGGATCTTAAATTTGTGGCTAAGTATGAACTGGGTCATATTTTACAGTGAATCCCACCAGAAGGTCTAGTCGAAATTCTCACCATATCTTACCGAACACACCTTGTAAACTACGTACCTCGCCCTACGGCATCCCTCATGTCCTCTACCTGCCCCATCTTACCATGTCTTGGTCCCAGAACAAATTACCATTCAGCTGATGACCGCCAAAAGACTGGCATCCCATTTGTCCATGCCATCTTAAAGAACCACTGTGGACGAGCACTGACATTCCAAAGTTGTCCTGCTTGGTCAAGGATGTTCCTAGAGGATGTCTGAGAAGGGGAAGATGTCACCGTGATTCTATGACAGGGACCTGCTGGAGGGGCTGATGTAAAGGAGAGGAGTCCTCTTTCCAGAGGACCACCAGAGGAACCTATGCTACCAGAAAAGAAAGCCTCAGCAAGTGGGCAAAAACTTGGCAGATGGAATATAATGTGGGAAAATGTGAGGTTATATACTTTGGTAGGAAGAATAGAAGAGCTGAATATTATAAAAATGGGGGAAGACTGCAAAAAGCAGTAGCAAAGAGGGACTTGACAGTCCTTGTGCATTAATCACAAAAAATGAGTATACAAGTTCAGTGGGTAATAGGAAAGGAAAATGGACTGTTGGTCTTTATTTCAAGGGGAATGGAATACAAAAATGGGGAGGTCTTGATAAATTATACAAGGCTTTAGGCAGATCATAACCTTGAATACTGAATGGCTTTGGTACCCTTATCTAAAGAAAGGCAAACTAGCATTAGTGGCAGTCCAGAAAAGGTTCACTAGGTTCAGTCTGGGTATGGAGGGATTTTCTTAAGAAGAGGGTTGAGTAGGTTGGGCCTTTATTCATTGGAGTTTAGAAGCATGAGAGGTTGTTTCCCTTTGTAGGGAAATCTAGGACCAGAGGGCATTAAGGGTTGCACATTTAAGACAGATGAGGAGGAATTTCTTATCTCAGAGGGTTGTTAATCTGTCAAACTCTTTACTGCAGAAGCTGGGTTGTTAACAATATTCAAGGCTGTGGTCGACAGATTTTAATCAGTAAGGGAATCAAGGGTTATAGGGAAAAGGCAGTGGAGTGGAGTTGAGAATTATCTGAACAGCCAAGATCTCACTGAACGGTTGAGGAGACCTGAGACAACAAGGTGCAGGGCTGGATGAACACAGCAGGCCAAGCAGCATCATAGGAGCAGAGAGGCTGACGTTTCGGGCCTAGACCCTTCATCAGAAAAGGGGGAGGGGAAGGGGGTTTTGAAATAAATAGGGAGAGAGTGGGAGGCGGATAGAAGAGGGATAGAGGAGAGGATAGGTGGAGAGGAAACAAACAGGTCGAAGAGGCGGGGATGGAGCCAGTAAAGGTGAGAGTGTAGGTAGGGAGTTAGGAAGGGGATAGGTCAGTCCAGGGAGGACGGACAGGTCAAGGGGGCGGGATGAGGTTGGTCGGTAGGAGATGGAGGTGCGGCTTGAGATGGGAGGAGGGGATAGGTGGGAGGAAGAACAGGTTAGGGAGATTTTGAAACTTGTGAAATCCACATGGATACCATTGGGCTGCAGGGTTCCCAAGCGGAATATGAGTTGCTGTTCCTGCAACCTTCGGGTGGCATCGTTGTGGCACTGCAGGAGGCCCAGGATGGAAATGTTGTCTGAGGAATGGGAGGGGGAGTTGAAATGGTTCGCGACTGGGAGGTGCAGTTGTTTATTGCGAACCGAGTGTAGGTGTTCTGCAAAGCGGTCCCCGAGTCTCCGCTTGGTTTCCCCGATGTAGAGGAAGCCACACCGGGTACAGCGGATGCAGTATACCACATTGGCAGATGTGCAGGTGAACATCTGCTTGATGTGGAAAGTCTT